ATATCTATATATGCATTGATCATGGGTAGTGAGCATTCCATTCAATGAGCATGGACAGTATGTAATGACATGGCTTTTTTTATCAAGATCTAAATCTGCTCTGAAGAAGCCAATTGTTTACAATTAGTAAAAACTTCAAGTCATGTTCATTGTCTCATTGTATTGTGTAGAAGTGATTTGATGAATTTCAGGTCTCTTTATAAAATAAGCTGTTAATGCTATAATTCCTGTTTTGCTTGAATTGATAGAATTTAACAATGAAATTATTTCAAATGGTAAGTGAAATTGCAGTTATTTATACTGTCATTTTAGAGATATAACTGTGAGATTAAGTAACATGAGAAACAAAAGAATTGAGCATTTGTTATATTGGGGAAACAAATCCAATTGTTTAAAAGCAGATTGTATATTTTTGATTAGATTTTTTAATAATTGCTAGATAATTTGCTTTATTAAAAACTTGAATGAATAAATGAATTGTAGTTCAAACCAAAATATCCACACATAAATACTGGTTATACACATAGTGCTTGACTTACAACAATTCATTTAGTGACTGTTTGAAATTACAACAGCACTGAAAAAAGTGACTTATGATGGTTTTCACACTTATGGCCCCTGAGGCATTCCCCATGGTCACGTGATCAAAATTCAGATGTTTGGCAACTGACTCAGATTTATGATGGTTGCACTGTCCCTGGGGTCATGGGATCACTTTTGTAACCTTCTGGCAAGCAAAGTCAATGGAGAAGCCAAATTCACTTAACTATATTACTAATTTAACAATCTCAGTGATTCACTTAACAACTGTGGCAAAGTCGTAAAATGAGGCAAAACTCACTTAACCAATGTTTCACTTAGCAACAGAAATCTTGGGTTTCAGAGGAAAGGTTTCTAATGCTTCCTTTTTATATATTTGGAGAAATTGAAGATCAAAGGGATTGAGCTTTTTACAGAAGAGGAGCAGCAAATCAATACTGTATTCATCTTGTTTGTTACAGATCTATAATGACCCACTCTGAATCCAATATGGGCTCTGAATGTCATTTTCAGAGGGAAAGAAAGACCTCCAAAATGCTTGCCAAGATTAGAAGCCAAGAATTTGTCATCACTCAGATCATTTGATTGAATAATCACAGCATGAGGAACTAGAGGGCAAGCTGTTCAGAATCCTTAGTTGCTCTCTAAACCTTTAATTCTTAGATCAGGGAAACTTCTGATAGCTTACATCAGTTGAAACTACCTTCCTTCCTTCCTTCCTTCCCTCCCTCCCTCCCTCCCTCCCCTTGCATCAATTCTCAACTCAAAATCTAACAGAACCTGGGTCTACTCATTCAGCAGTAAAACAGAATTAGCTCTGAACTATTCAACTGTGGCCAAAACAATATACAGTATATGTCTATATAATATAGCATATAGCGAGAGGAGAAAATTCCATTCATTTCTTTTCATTTTGTACTTGAGCTTAAATATCACTTTTTGCTAGAAACCTACTGGTAAGTTTGCGTTCAGAAGTTGTGGGAGCTTCATCATTTGAGACTTTCGAGAAGAGATTGGACTGCCATTTGTCAGAAATGGTGTAGAATCTCCTGCTTGGGTGGGGAATTGGAAGATACCTACAAGGTCCCTTCCAACTCTGTTAATCTGTAATCTGTAATCCTTATAAAACACCCTCTATTAGTTAAGTTCTCTAGTTCCCAATTATGGAGGCTGCTCAGTCATTCTGTTATGAATGCACATAGTTTTTTGATTGCAAGAGCCTTGGCTCATAGTTATTTAAAAAAAATACCAAGATGACAGTAGCTGGCCATCTTTTCTGGCTGCTTTTGATACCATAACAATTTATCATTAGAGCATATGTCAACTTCTCAGAGGATATAATTTAGAAGTCCAGAATGTTATTGCTGCAGTTATTTGGCAATAGTATGTCCTTCTTCAGAGAAGCAAAGACAGATGCTCACTTCCTGCATTGGAAAGGAAAAATAAATATTATCACCATATGGATGATGTAAAACTAATAGTAAACATAGTAGAATGAGGAAGAAGGGGCAGAGTTAAGAGATCTATTTTGGATTCTTCTTTTATGTCAAATTGGCGAAATATGTATCAGACTTTCTAAGCCAAATAGGATCAAGTACAACAAATCTTTTCGAAAGGGTCAGATTCCTACCAATTTGCTAATGGAAATGACAATTTTCGTTAGCATTTCTAAGCTTCTCCATGCAAATTAGCTTTGTGTATGTTTCTTTGCTTCAATCTCTTATCTGCTTGATATGGCTGGCACCATAGTACTTATAAAAGTTCTTCTATGTGTTGTTTGTGAGGTACTGATTGGATATTGCGCTAATTGTAGTCATTTCTGTTTTTAATGCTGCTTTTTATTGATTTTTGTATGTTTGTTGTTTGGGTATTTTAATTGCTGTCAGCTGCTAAGAGTCACTGACATGACATAAGCAGCTATCCAAAACTAGGAATAAATTGAATAAATAAATATAGTTAAATTGGATTATTTGACTGTACCTTGTCTGCATTCACCTTTCATTACAACATTTTCACCTGTCTTATCATCTAGATTTTGAGGATAAGACCTAAGGAATGGGAATGTCTGTAGGAGAGAATGTTACAATAGCTAAATGCAGCCTGAACCTGACATATATTCAAAATCAAGGAACGGTTGATAGCAGACTTAGAATGGTCTGCCTTTGTATGTACACACACACAGATGCATATACATGCCCAAGCATACTTTTCCTGAAAACTCTAAGTCAATCAAGGTATGGCCTTAAATATAAGCTTTCTTTGAGAAGGTAGAAACTAGACTTGCAATTGCCGGTAAAACTGATTTTGAGAGATAATTGATGTATGAATTTCTAAAAAAAAAAAGTCTAGATGCTAATAATTACTTGTCCACAGTTTGCTATAATCTATTTTACATAACTAATTAATTGTACCATTCAGTGCTATTCAATCAGAGGAGGAGTAGAGGACTGCACTGGACTTGATTCTAGAAATGGAGAAAACTTAGTCAAATTTAGTCATACAAACTGCCCTGTTTATCTTTTCACTAGATATTTGAAAGACTGCTGATTCTTGTTTCTTGGAGTGTGTACAAACCACAGAATTAGTGTTATTTTCAACTCAAAACAAAAACAGGAAATTAGGTTGAACTGAAACCCAAAACAGGAATCTTATGGGATATGTAAGGGAAGGCTGAATATGTCTTACCATGTCTCGCTTTATTTTCCAATGGGCTGCAGGCTAAACTACCAAACAATCTCTCCAGAGCTCTTAAAAATGCCTTCAAGTCAGGTGGGTTTTTTAAAAAAATATTGGCAACAAGTGTTTGCAGCATTTTCAGAAGGGATTTGCCATTATCTCTTTCCTGGGACTAAGATAGAGTGACTGACCCAAGGTCATCAGCTGGTTTCATGCTTCAGGCAGGACTAGAACTCAGAATCTCCCACTTTCTAGCCTGATGCCTTAACCATTACACCGAAATGTTAATCTCCACTTACTTGCTGCAAATAGCCCTATCTTTTTCTCCAGTCACTCCTGCCTGGAACATAATTTGTATCTATGCCTAGTTCAAATATGTGTGTGCTGACACAGGCCACCTGAAATTGGCTGGTTTTTATACATAATATTTTGCACATCCTTGCTTATTTTTTTAAATATAAGTTTTTTTTCTGTTTTGGTCTCTTCTACTATGTCAGGCATGGCTGCAAACACATTATGCCTGGTGAGCAGGCAAGTTGCTCTGACCATTTTGAATTTTTTGCAACACAAGTAAAATACAACAATCAGATTAAAATTGAATAAATAACATCAGGTAGATTTTTAAGTTTTAGATAGAACTTTCTTCTATTCCATAGTGATATATTGCTAGGTTTTACAACAACCTTCTCCCTCCACGTTTGACATGTAACTTTTTTTTATTCTAGGCAAGTATTTGAAAAGAATTACCTTCCAGGGAAGAACTTAGCCTTGTGAGTTCCATGTAGAACCTAACTGATAGGGCAGCTGCAGTTTCAGGAACAGACTTTCTTTGATGTTGGGCTTTAAGCCCCTTCTTGGCTGTACTTTCTAGTTACTTAGAAATCTTGGTACACCATATTCAAACATCACAGAAAATATTTTCTGATGCTTTAATATTTCAAAGTGTCAAATGTGTTTTTTGTTTTTCCTTTGCTGGACAACTTTTTTAAAATATCTTATGTTTCATACACAAATATTAAAATGCAATCTAATATAAGGGGGGAGAGAGAGGAATCACAGGATACAGCTTTTAAATAAGAGCAAACACATAAATTTTGCTGTCCACAGAAGCTGTAGTCTGTTTTTCTATAATCAAGCAACTCACTAAAGTTGGTGTTTATATTGTTAAAAATGATTTTGCTATCATTATTCAATAGTCCATTAGATATTCATATTGGATAAAATTATATTGGCACACTAGCTTCCCCTTGCTTTGGGATTTTATTGCAAGATTTATGCAGTATTTTCTTTATTAGATAAATTTCTTTTTACTAAGATGACTAAGGATAACTTAAGTTCTTAGATGCTAACCTTTTTCATACAATAAGTGAGATTATGAGGCTTGCCGATTTACTCTCGGTCTTTTGAGGAGTGTTGTTTTGATAGAAATACAGGAAATTGCCTCATAGCTGTAAAAACTACTAGCCTATGAGAGCCTCTTGCACATGTTTTTCATGCCAGTTTTAACAAGCCAAATAATTGGAAATGTTTGGATAGCATTGTCTTAAATATAATTCCATTTTGTTATAACATACTATTTAATGTTTAAGTTTATTAAAAAGCACTTTAAGAATAAGCTATTCTGTAACAGATACAAAGTTTTGTTTTACCGAAGTTCTGTGCAATTAAAATAAGTCCATACAAATTCATTTCTGATTTCTTATTTGTAACTGAGAAGTTTTAGAAAATTTTCTTTTCACATGTTTTCATTATTTCTTAATAGTATTTTATTGCTTAATTTCTAGGTGGCAAACCTGGTGTATTAATTGTGAAGATCTTAGAAATGCATGAAGAATGCACTCTTTGCATAGCTAACTGTCATCAACTGGGACAAATTTGTGCTGATGGTTCTATCATAAAAGAAATTGCTGAAATTCAGCCAAGAGTTCAAGTTCTTTTTGCAAAAGAAACAACAGCTCATTTGAAGGCAGTACCACAGGACATCATATATATTCATCCTCCTTGGTAAGTGCATAAAACATTCGCAACCAGTCATACCCTCAACCAACCATACCATAGCCAGTTTGGTCTAGTGATTAAGGCATCAGACTAGAAAGCAAGAGACTGTGAGTTCAAGTTCCGCTGAAAACCAACTGAGTGACCTTGGGCCAATCATTCTCTCTCAATCCAACTCACCTCACAGGATTGTTGTGAGAAAAATAGGAAAGGAATATGTGTTGGGTATGTTCACTATGTTGAGTTATTTGCAAAAAATAAAATAAAAATAAAGGTGGGATATAAAATAAATAAAAAGTGCTCCTTTAGCAGTAGCTCTTTTTTAGAGGAGACCCAAATTTAAGTTAGGTTTTATTTATTTTTTATTCTAGTAATAATATAGTTGCCTTTGTTGTCTATTTCTTATGTTCCTGCATTTTATTAAATGCTAAGATACATGAATGATTCAACCATTAACATGTTTAATTTGCATTTGAGAAAAGATAATTTAAAGAAATTCTAGCAGGAAAAGAGCTTCACTATTACAGTGTTTTTGCTGATAATCATGCAGGATTAATGCTATATGCTAAAGACATTTAATCTTCATCTCATTTTACTCTGGTATGAGATGAACAGTATCTTGTTTTCCCTAATAAAAGGGAGGGGGAAGTTCCAAACAAAAGAAATCAAAGAAATTCTGTTACCATTGTTTTTATAGAGCCCTTTGATATCATCTATGCATTTTGAAAAGTTATAAATATTTAAGCAGACAGTACGGATAAAAAATAAACATCCAAATCCCTACCATCAAAAAGAAAGTAAGTCCTTTTTACATTCCTGCTTTGAAGATTTTGTAGAAACAGAAAAAGTAAAAAGCTCTGATAAGGGAAAGACACTGAGCCACCCTACAATAAAATTCAACAAAATTCAAAGTCAGTTATGGCAGAAGCACTCCTGGAAAAAAGATGCAATTGGACAATCTGTAGATGATTACCCCTTCAAAGAACTGGAGATAATAAACTATTTTATATGGGAAAAATGGAACAGCTTGCTTAGCTTCTGCCTAATATCATCATTCAAAATAAGATTTGATATCCAAACGTCTTATTTTAAAGCAGTTGTTTTTCCTCTACTTCAATTGGGAGCAGTAACAAATTAGTCGTTTATCAAATTATTTCATATTTGTTGTAGTACATGCTTAATAATCAAATCTTTAGAAGTTTGAAGATTCAGAATTTTTTTATATGACTGTTACTCAGAAACAAATCCATTTCCTAACCTTTAAAAGCTTTTTTTTACCATATGGTTTAAATGTTCATGTCACATATACTATAGGATTTATGCTACAGACCCCTTTCAGTATAGATTCAATCAATCAATCAATCAATCAATCAGAATAGAGCTGGAAGGGACCTTGGAGGTCTTCTAGTCCAGGCCCCTGGTCAAGCAGGAGACCCTGTACCATTTCAGATAAGTGGTTGTCCAGTTATAAGTGGATGTTCCTTAGAAACCTCCAATGTTGAGTCACTTACAACTTCTGAAGGCAAGCTGTTCCACTGGTTAATTGTCCTAACTTAGCAAGTTTCTCCTTAATTCCAAGTTGCTTCTCTCCTTATTTCCATCCATTGTTTCTTGTGTTGCCTTCTGGTGCTTTGGAAACTAAGTTAACCCCCCTCTTCTTTCTGGTAGTCCCTCAAATACTGGAATACTAATATCATGTCACCCCTAGTTCTTCTGTTCTCTAGACTGGCCAAATCCCACATTTAATAATGTAGTAGAATTAAAATTTAGCCTTATTAAAATATAAAATAATAAACACTTTGAATTAATTTGGCCACGGGTAAATGTATAAATAATTACTGGCTTTTAATTTCCCACAGGTATGAATAATTTATCTTCTATTTGTAATAATTCTTCATTTAAAAAGTCAAGTTTTCTATTCACAATGAATGTAATAATAAAGGAAAACAGTTTTGGAGAAAAATGGGTTTAGAGTAGACGCTAACTACAGAGAAAATAACATGACATTTTTATTAAAGGCAATATATTTTGGAACAAACTAGAAGAATCCCTCAGAGACTAGTTTGGTACATTTGTTTTAAATTATCAGTAAATTTGGGGAGGAAATAAGGAATTAGCTTATTGCATTTGCTACTAATAATATGCTAATGTGTTTAATTCAGCTCAAAATCTATGTTAAATGAAATATTCTCCTAAGATGCAACAACAGATATTAATGAAATTGCATACAGCAGTTAAAAAAGTCATATATTTGTGACCTTGTAAATATGAAGTTAAATTGCTGACCTGGAGCTGCCCAGAACTTGATATAGATGGGTCGCTATATACATTTTAATAAATACAACAGATTTAAGATTCTTCGATTAGGTGAGAACATTATTGGGGAAATAGTCAGATGCAAGGAACCAGAACTGTATGGTTGGTTATGGGACCTGACCTTTGTACATCTTATGTAAGACACAGAAAAGATCACAGTGGAATTTGACTGACATTTGGCCTTTTATATTTGGGATAATATATACCTATAGGAAGTCCCAAGTTTATTAACTAAAACCCCAGTAAAATTCATTCATTCATTCATACATACATACATACATACATACATACATACATACATACATACATGGAAAATAATAAATAATAATAAATTTATACACAACTTCAGTCAAGTTGATCTTCAATCAATTTACTGTCTATAATAAAATATTTGCATGAAGATATTTGGATAATTCTAACCTTTTTAGTAGCTCAGTTATTCAAGTGGAATGATATGATGATGGAATGATTTTATTTGTTGCCTTTGCGACCATCATAATACTAAATCAGTCAATCTCCATTAACAATCAGTGGAAATGTTTGTGCACAAATACAAAAACACTGTCCCAACTGATCACTGTATTTTACTTGTCATCTTTCTATAGTAATTAAAAACAATTATTTCTATGTATATTCAAAAACAATTGCATGTTCATAGGAATAAAGAATTACCTGAAGAATGTGTAAAACATAATATCTAGATAAAAGCATTTCCTACAAGCCTAGAAATAAAACAAATTTGTCAAATAAATGGAAACAAAATAACCACTGAAGGTAGCAGAGTTTGCTAAACTGGTTCCAACAATTTCTGTCTTTAGCTTTTGAGTAGGCAAGGGATATTAGCACTAGAACATGTAATAATAAAAAGGTTTGCAATTTGTTTGAAAATACAATAAATTACAGCAACAAATTTAACATCAGAATCCTATTATACTCGAGTCTTAGAAGTACACATCTGCTTTTATTTTAGGTTTAAAAATGTCCACTTACCAAACAAATTAGATTAAAGAAATTTGCAAATAAAATGGTTGCTTATTTCAATAAAATGGTTGAATTTATTTCTTTGTTAGCATTCTTTGGAAGAGTTAATATAATATTAGTTTAGTTTCTAATATAGAAATGTCTCCAGATTATTTTTAATCAATGTTGAAAAGTTTATATTGATAAAATGTTTTATCTGCTTAGTAGCTATTGCACATAAAATTTAGGTTTAAATATTTATTAATCTGAAATGTTAACAACATATGGAAAGAAAAATCATAACCAGGTAATAGGTACTGTAGTTGTCTGTCTTCAGTAGACATTGAGTACACAAGGAAAAGAAATGTTAAGTGTTGGAGGATAAATTAAGTATTGCGATGAAGGTAGATATGCAATTCTGTTGGGAACTATGCATGGCCCAGTGTAATCAACCTTTTTAGAGATTGGCAGCTGTGCATTTTTGTGGGTATTAGGAAGGACTACAGGGGTTGGACCATATCACCCATATGGGCTGGGTCAAGACTTTTTTTTAATTTGAAGTTGTATTAGGAATTGTAACAGCATGTTTTCACAAGGATGCTTACTTGTTTCCCAGGAGGTGCCTTTCAGAGCAGTCACTCTTGCCATCAAATAATAGTTATTTATCCCTGTGTCTTCCATAAATTGGTCTAGGCCTGCTGGTAGCCAAGCTGGTAGTTAGCATCACATCTCTTAGGAGCACATTCCAAAGTTTGTGTTGTGTTAAAAAATCACTTTGTCTTATAGATGTTTTGGGGGGTTTGGTCATTCCTACTAATTTCATCTTGTGCTCATCCTGTGGTTCACCAAAACATTGCTCCTCCCACCCCCTCAAACTATTGCTTTACCAGTAGAGACAAAAGCTTTTGTATCAACATAAAGCACAAAAAACTGATCAGTCAGTTGGGATGAGGTTGGCATTTAGATTAACAGCCAATTCTTGCTTAACCCTGCTTCTTTCACATGCTCTACCATCTTTATTTTTTGCCATCATTGTCATGAAGATATGACTTTTGCATGGTAAAATAACTCAAAACAAAATCCCCAGGTGGCAGTTTTACTATGCACTAAAATGAACTGTCTGGACTTTCTCTTAGCCCAACTCAAAATGCTTAGAGAGCCTAATATTGGGGAAGAGAGTATCTGCAGAATTAAGTGATCAGTAGAAGTTGGCATGATTGTACTTTTGTCAGGTTCATCATCAAGATGTCACTGGTTATTTGTATGGTGAAACTAATGTTGAAAGAAAGGGGAAAACATCAGTTTAATGGAGAAAAGCAAAAGATGATTTCAGACTGCCATTGCAGCAGGCTAGAAATGAGATATAGGTGATACGTTTAAGAAGTGTCCCATGAAAACGATTAACAAAGAGTTTTCATGCCACAGAAAGTTAGAAGTTAGGATGAAATTTCAGTTTGGTAAGTGAAAAAGAAGCAGATGCCCTGATATTTGTTAGGTTTTTGAAAGGATTGAAATCCTGGCATCACTTGACTGAGCTAAGAAATGAAAAAGGATGGGTCTATAGTGGCTAGTATGTGGATGGGAGAATATAAGGAAATAGGAAGAATGTAGACTAGAGTGGGAAGTCAATAAAATACTTTGGAAGACTTCCATGGCAAACTGCTGCAGTCATGAACTGCATGTCAATGAACTAAGAGTTGAGTTTGGCTCAAACCTGTATGTTTAAAGCTGTG